GACTTGGATTTGTAATTTTATTTTAGTTGAGTTCCAAATCCAGTTGGGTTTCTTATAGTCACCTGTTGTCTCCCCAGCTATGGGTTAATTAGTAAGATTGGTATTATTAAAACCATTATTATCTAAAAAATAAATTATATACAAAATATTTAGATTTCAGCATTAAATAACCCATAGAGGTGTTGATATGCCACTAAACAAAAAAAAACCCAATAAACCTAGTGACGGCAAAAGTCTGTTTGTTGCTTGAATACAATCTTCAAGCCATGTACATATGTGTGTGTGTGGGGGGAGTGTATGTGTGTATGCATGTGTATGTGTGCATGTGTGTGTGTATATATATATATATATATATATATATATATATATATATATATGAATTACATAAAAAATGAAACTCAATTTTACCCCATTTTGATAGGCATTTCCCCATAATAATGGGGCTGGTCAATGCTAAAATGCTTCTTAAAAAAACAAACGTTTTAGCATTGACAAGCCCCAGGGAGATTATGCTGTGGGGTGGGAGTGAAATGGCTATCAAAATAGGGTACAGTTGAGTTTCATTTGCATCTAATTCATTTATATCCTCTATAATAAATATAGTGAGCTTTATTTGTGGATCAGTTTTAATATTTTATATTATTACAATCTACTTGGATTTTTCCCTGTATGTATATATATATATATGCATATATATAATACTTTCATGGTAATTGCTCCAAGGAGCTGCATTCGCTGGTTCCCAGACTCCATGAATTCAAGCGACCTACAAGGCTGTCATCTCGCTCTCACCCTTTCACTGTCGAAACTACTAAATATAGCCGCCTCTTCTACTCCAATAGCTTCATGTCTCGCACCTCACGCCTGTGGAACTCCCTTCCCTATTCCAGTTTCCCTGGGAGCTAACTATTCAAATGTAATGTCAATCGACATCTCCAGTTGCCTTGATCTATCCACTATCCTTCTCCTCATCCTTTCTTCTATCACTCCTATCTGATCTTGATCCAAATCTTGCTCCAAATCTTCTGTAACCCCTTGCATCCTAGTGGCTTCCCACCTTGCTTAGGGTGAAAACGCTTAAAAAAAAATATATATATATATACACACATATATATATATACATACATACATATATATATATATATATATATATATATATATATATATATATATATATATACAGAGAGAGAGAGAGAGAGAGAAAGAGAGATGAGAGAGAATGGGAGGGAGGAGAGAAAGAAATCAAGAGATAGAGAGATAATTTAAATATGGTTTAATTAGGTACCAAGAATTCTTGCAAATATATTTTGTTGAATAATATCAACAAGTTCTGTCTATCTAATTAACTAATTTCTGAATTAGTCCTTTTATATAACCAGTAAATTTACCAAAGTTCACTTTCATTCAAATCAAAAACGTTAATAAAACATTAGATAGGTTGGATAAAAAAAAATTGAAAAATATCTATCTATATATATATATATGTCTACTGTCTGTATCTACATATTTGAAAATGCTCTAGCCATGATTTTGTGCATTCTTCCTCCTTAAATTTTTTTTTTCTTTTTATGCATTACGCCCCGAGCAAGGCATGAAGCCACTAGGATGCAGAGGGTTGCAAAAGATTTGGAGCGAGAACAAATAGGAGCGATAGAAGAAAGGATGAGGAGAAGGATAGTGGGTAGATCAAGGTAACTGGAGGTGTCGATTGACATTACATTTGAATAGTTGGAGATTATAGCTCTAAGGGAAACAGTAATTGGGAAGGGTGTTCCACAGGCGAGAGGTGCAAGGTATGAAGCTATTGGAGTAGAAGAGATGACTACATTTAAAAGTTTCTACAGTGTAAGGGTGGGAGCGGGATGCTAGCCTCGTAGGGTGCTTGAATTCATGGAGTCTGGGAACCAGTGAAAGCAGCTCATCGGAGCATCACCATGAAAGTACTTGTAGAAAAGACAGAGAGAGGCAACGGCACATCTATGAGAGAGTGACTGTAGACGAGACGCCAGATCAGGGCCAATTACATTACATATATAGCAATATTTAAAGAATGTATATATAGAAATATATGTAAGCAAATATATGGATATAGATCCGACAGTATGAAGAAAAATATATACGGAAAAAAACAAACAAAAATCCTTATATACAATTATGCTGTTTTAATGTTAATGTCCGACATTGACATATTAACATTAAAACAGCATAATTGTATATAAGGATTTTTGTTTGTTTTTTTCTGTATATATTTTTCTTCATATATATATATATATATATATATATATATATGCATCTGTGTTACATATGTGTATGTGTGTGTTCATTATGTCAGGTCTTTTTTAATACCACTGCTAAAATCTGTCACCCTATGATGCTTTTCCTTGGAAGGGTGACATGTTGCTAGAGGGTTGGAATTTGAAATTTTTCTCCTTATATATTGAGTTCATGCCTTCTTAAAGAGCCTTAGTGCAAACTGAATAAAACGGCCTCATCTGTATTATGAATGAGACCTAATAAGTTCATATTCATTGTTACTTATCCTATTTAACTACATATATACAAGGTACAGCACTTAGCTTTTTATTCAATTTTTTTTCATATGTTCGTATAAGTGTTTTCTTTGCTGGACATAAAGTGTGTAAAAACTGTCCAAATGTTCTATATATCCGTGCAATTTTGTCTATTCTGTCTGCAATTATCATTTTTGATATATTTTTGATTCTGAATTGAATATGTAGATTTTTATGTATGGGTATCTATAGTGACGGGAAGATTTTTTTTTTATTTTCCAAACACGATCAGCAAAAAAGAACATCGTTGATAATGGCAAATAGAATGGGGGAAGAGTTTGGATAGAAAATTTGGTCAATTTTTACACATTTTATATTCAGAAAAGAAAACATTTATCCAAGCACAAGAAAAAATTGCATAGAAAGCTTAATCACACTAACTTGTCAATCATCTTTAATGAAAGTCATATATATATATATATATATATATATATATATATATATATATATATATATATATTTATATATATATATATATATATATATATATATACACACACATATGAATATGGATACTGAGATTAGCATTAAGTGATAAAAGTCTGTTTGATACTTGAATGCTATCTTCAAGACATCTACTCATATATATATATATATATATATATTTAAAAACATTTTATTAAATATAACAGACAATGAATGTCTATTATGTCTGATCATGAGCCATTTCAATGTTCAAATATTTGCTTTAATTTCTGGTGAAAATAATGACAAAAATTGTCCAACATTTGAATATGTTTTTATTATGTTGGTCCTAAGCTTTCGGCTGACATGAGCCATCTTCAGAGTGGTTATACATATATGCTTAGGACCAACTTAATAAATGATTATCCAAAAGTTGGATAATTTTTGTTTTTATTTTCACCAGAAATTAAAGCAAATATTCGGACAATAGAATGACTCATGATCAAACATAACAGGCATTCATTGTCCGTTATATTTAACAATATATGTTTAAATAATGATTTGCTGCCCCAATATATATATATATATATATATATATATATATATATATATATATATATATATATATACATCACACACAATAAAATCCCAAAGCACTTCATATGGGGAATAAGCTTATTTCAACCGATGAAAATATAATTTGTCAGTCTTATCATCCCCAGATACCGGCTTTGATAAACCTGATGATATGAGATGATTTGGACTTTTATTGTTTATTAATTATTTGCTCTCTAATAATAAATACATTGAGCACTTTTTGTGGATCAGTTTTAATATTTTATATTAGTAGAATCCACTTGGATTATATACCAACAGATTTGTAACCTTTAATATATATATATATATGTGTGTGTGTGTACACACGGAAATTTTTATATTCATTGAATAAATGCATTTCATAACTCCAAGATATTATTCTATGAACTCCTACATAAATAAAAACGAATAATAAACTAAAATGTTGCATTATATCCACAAATATGCATATATATATATATATATATATATATATATATATATATATATATATATATATATATAGAAGCAAAACTAATGCAAATGCATAATTACTACAGAATGCACTTGTGCATTCTTAGGTGTATGCAGGAAACCACAGACGAATATATACTCTACCAGAAATCTTAAAAGAATATATGCAATGATGCACACAAGTATTATTTAAAATATGTGTCCTGTGTTAATTGAAAATGCACATGTCCATTTCAACATACACTTATTTCCTTGTGTATGTTTGACAGAGAGTTACAATGGTGGAAGGTCTACACATTTGGAGCATACAAGGCCCGTTGTCTTTCTTCATCAATCTTGTGTAAGTCTCCACACACAGATGCCTCAACTACTATCCTCCCCCCCCAGACTTTCACGCACATGCAAGGCAATTCTGATTGAAATATATGCCACTGATGTACAGACACACAGACACAGACACGTGCACAGATAGAGAGGAGAAACAAATGAATATATAGATATACATATATATATATATATATATATATATAGAGAGAGAGAGAGAGAGAGACAGACAGACAGACAGACAGAGAGAGAGACAGAGAGAGAGAGAGAGAGAGAGACAGAGATGTACATGGATATGCACATGAACACCAGCTTATAAAAAATAAACACTATACCCCACCATTCTCATGGCTGTCTTTCCAACAAAAACATTTCCTTTTTCACTCATAAACATATAAATCAATTGCAAGTATCGGAGGAGAGGTTTTATTTCAAGATGCATGCATATATTTCTCTTTACACATGCAAAATGCAATTAAACAAATAAATAAATAAGTTTTTTATATATATATATATATATATATATATATATATATGCATGTATGTTTATATATATATGCATGTATGTCTAGATCAAATTTTGATCAAATAATATTTATCAATCTTTTATTTACCTCATTCTGTTCATATACATCTATCTATCTATCTCAG